AGCTACTAATGATCTCTATGTGAATTTCAAAAGAAGCAATAAAAACAGTAGTAGAGAATAAATTTCCACAAATTCTGACAAAATTGTGTTGATTGTCATTTGTATTACATTTTAAAAAATCAAGTAATACATCATTTAAAAATAAGTATAAATAAAAATATGCTATGACTCAATTTTGTAAAATAAGAATTACATAGATACATACAATTAGATATTTTTTAAATCTCAAAGAATATTCTCTGAGTCTATAAGGGGGCATTACTGTGAAGCACACATTCCATGATACATGTTTCTGAATTTTCACTAAGAGTATGCATTACTTTTGTTTTTAAAACATTCACAATATCCAGAATTCATTCCTGATTTATCACTGTGCAACTTAAGAATCAATCATGCATACTGATGAAAAACACATAAAAAGCAGAATCAGATTTTGTTGCTACACATATTTCCAGAAGACTATTATTATGCAAGAAAGTCAGACAGAACAGCATAAGCACATAAAAATGAGAAGGGGATTCAATGAATGTTAATTTGAAATATTATGCCTGAGGAGACCTGAAAAAAAAATTGAGGATAAGCATGCTTCAGAAAAAAATAAAAAGGAAAGACAGAAAATCATTTCTGAAAGAGGCCAAGATGAATAAGCTGAATAAAAGCAAAATGTTAAAACACTCCTTTCTGGGGTAATACCCAAATCTAAAAATGTAAAACATAAATTTTAGTTTTCTCAAATAAAAACAGCACATTGACTAGTTGTAACATATTACCAGTTAAAGCAGTAAACAGGAAAGGTTGTTGGGGAACCTGAGGAATAATATTAAAATAATCCTGGCATGGCACTTCCTAGTTAACTTTTTTATTAATTCCTCAGATGTTGTCTCAAAAAACTTAACTTCCTTAAGTTTTCCAATTAAAAGCTTTCATAGCACTGTATATCTTTATAGCATTTACTATGGTTTATAAATACATATATTGTATGCGATTAACAAATGACCGTGAATCCTCCCCACTATGTACGCTTCATCATAATATGTCTGGGCCTTAAAAGCACTCAATTAGTATTTCCTGGAAATTAATTAATCAGGGTTTGGAATGGCTTTGTTTTATTGTTAAGAAGGAAGACTCCTAGGTCCCTATTTGTGTGCCTGGGGCACAGAAAATGGTATCTCATGATGGTTTCATTTTGACTTCAAGGTATGTATTGCCTTCTCTTGAATCCTTGAATGGCTGGGTAGTGAAACAGTTAAAAAAATCTTAAGCGTACAAGGACAAGGCTACAAACTTGGAATTGAATGTCATCCAAACAAACTGTGGATCTGTATTTACTTTCACTTAGTCTATCTGAAGACCCATAGTATGGATTTAAAGGGTAGTTCAAAGAGCCTAGAGACTGGCAACAAAACAAAGCAAAGCCGTCTGGTACATTCAGAGACTAATCCATCAAGTTCAAAGCGGAACTTAGCACATGATAGACATCCAATAAGTACCTGTTGAATGAACTGATGATATAACATGCTGAGATACCTAATTTCACATGGTTACTACTCACAGCCTCCACTTGTGTGTTATTTTTGTTTGACTGGCCCACATCCCAGGGTCCTACAGAATACTTGCTCCAACTAGTACTTCTTGATTAAAATGAATGAAGAAACAAAAAATGACGATATGCAATTACACAGAGGACTTTCCCCCAAGTTTTATTTTAAAATATTTATTATGTTGTTATTTTTCAGTTCATCATCAGATGCTAATTCAAATGTTTGGTTCAGTCATCCCTAATTCTGCATCTTTAATGTTTCTCTGTTCATAAATTCTACTAGTGTCTCACCTACCAGGTATTACACTCACCAAGCAGTAGGCCATATATTTTTAATTTCAGCTTCCTACCTTGCCAACATGGATACTTCTTACCTTGCCAACCCGAATAACATAATTAACCAAAATGTGTTTTTAGCAAATGTGTCAGATAAATAAACCAGAGAAACATGAATTGGTACTTTCTTATTAATAATAGCATAAAAGTTTTCTCTGAAATACTTTATCACATATTTTTATACAAAATATATTATCATTTAAACATTTATCATTTAAACATAAGATACGTTTATCTCATACAAAGCAAGTATTTGATTATAAATTAACATATCAAATGTAACAATGCTACTTGAATCTGTGAAAATCTACCAATATTTATGACACAAGATAAATAATTTTAGGTACAAACTCTTAACTGTGACTTTACACTAAGCACCATAAACAGGTTAATAACTATGGAATAGGTCAGTAAGTAACACTAGAATTACACTGAGATTCAGATACTTAGATATGCTTAATATATTAACATCCAATAAAAAGTAAAGTTGTCCCTGCTTGAACTAGCTAAAACAACAGACATTCCCTGCTAGCATAGTAAGAAAGGTAAAAATTGAAAGTATCTGCATCCATCTAGGTTAGCCATAATGTTCACAGCACACAGTTTCACATCATGTTGTAAAATAACTGACACGCATACAAAAAAAAAGCTTCAAACTAACTGCCAAACTAGACTCTAGTTGGCAGAGACAATGTTACTAAAAATAACATTATTTGTGATCAATGAATGCCTCAAACTTAAATATATAATTTCTAAAATAATACTTCCACTTCTAAATTAACTTTTCCAATTACACTGATATTCCATACAAAGTACATCTGTATGTTTTCTCAAATAAAGTGTTCAAGCAATGGTAAAAATGCCTAATGATCTGCACAGCACTTAATAAGAATATATTCACTCCCTGACTCTCATAGTCACTGTATCTGCTATTACCCCCATTACACCCCAAACCACAGAGCTTATCAAGTACATATCTGGGCTTGAAACCCAAGTTTCCACTGGTCTAATACTTGACATTTTTTCCATTTTCTAAAATCCTATATGTCTTTATATCTTCCTCTCTGAGGGCACCTGCCCCCTCACTTATGTATAGCTTTTATAATCTAGTAATGGATTATAAAGTCATTGATCAGAATAATATTCCAATAGGCAATATATTAAATATCTGGTAATGACTTCCCCCATTTATAAACCCCTTCCAGACAACAGGTATATGAAGCAGGAAATGGAAAAACTTTAGACCACGTAAGAATCACCTACATAAAAAGAAAAAGAATAAAAACTTCTCCCAGTAGTCTATTTCTGCTCAAAACTCTTATGACTAAAGAACTCAACATTATATGAGGAGGACAAATTAAATAAAATTAGGCAGTGGAAAACTGGAGACAATTACAGAAACATAGACTCTCTTATTTAACAGAGATCTCTGCAAAATTTCAATGTCAGAGGAAGCCAAATAAAATCTTTAAATGTAAACTTGTAACAATGTCTCATTTTTAGACTATATAATGCTGTTCATTTTAGTTACTTAAAACAAAATGGAAATATTAAAGACAAGTGATAATTTCCAAGTGGACCCTTTCCATTTTGTTTCTAAAAAAAACTAATTTAAATTCCTGTGGTTACATTTTAAACTATAATAGGTAATACCAGAAATATTTCAGTCTTAATGTATGAAACATTTCAAATAGTAACTTTTAGAGCTTAAAAAATAGAAGGAAACATTCATATAAGTTGTAGTTAGTTCATACTTAACCTACCTCTTTTTTTCTAAAGTCTCACACCATTTTACAAATATTGCCAACATGGTCACAGGTTGTAATAAGGAAGGGTATCTATCAACACACCCATAATTTAAAGGTAGATGCAAATTATAAAACAGTTTGCCAAGGAAATAAGGAATGACATACTATTATAAACAGTAAGCTTATGTATGAGAGTAGGCAATTATAATCATCAAGTTGAGATCTGAATACTATGCAAAATTAACATAATATACACTTTAAAAAACGTATCTTAACCCATCTAAACAGCATCTATTTTCCTTTAAATATAATTCTTAGATGTGACTATATTAAAGGCCATTTTTAAATGGTTATTTTTATGATATGTGAATTTCACCTCAGAATTATATCTATGTAACACATAGATAAAATGTAACATATTATCATTAGATGAATTTATATATGAACTATGTATGAACTTGAACATATATGTTCCTAAAACTCTCTGAAATTAATCTAATGATAATGGTTTAATCTTCTTTTAAGTACTTAGTGTCACTATAGTGCCTGGACATTTACTGAAATCCTATAGGCAGCCCGCTTTAATATGCATGCTGTTTGAAATGATGCAGTTAAAAAATGTCAAACAGAAGCATTAATTCCTATGCCAAAAAGTTTAAAATTTCTCAATGGATAAAGTTAAAGAATCTTGAAATCACTCTTCATCTGTTTAGTGCTTAATAAAGAATGCAACAAAAAAGGAAGCAGCTTACAATACTTAAACTTCAATAAATAAATCAGTATAACCAGCAATGTGACTTGATCCCTTTTAAAATTCTTCCTAAATATTTCTATTTACTGTTCATTAACACCAAAAAATAAAAGCTTATACTTAAATGGGAAAAAAAAACCTCTTAATCCTCAATGAATCATAAAACCAATTCAACTACCACTGTCTCATTCATTAAGGTATTTCATTATTATTATTTAATAAAATATTTCTTAAAAATCCTGTGGCAACACTTTTGTGCAATTTCAAGGGCCAATTTCAACATCATAAAAATCATAATTTTCTCTAGAAAAAACTAATAATCACATATTTCATTTTTAATTTAAAGGATCATAAACAAAGTTAACTTAAAATATTAAATATTAATGCACTTAAATTTAATGCAAATTGTAACTATTTTAAACTTAATATTTTAAAATGCATATTTCCTTTAAAAGATGAACAATTCAGTGCATTTTGGAGCACTGGATTTAAGGAATTTTTTTTTAAAAATTAAGTGCTAAAGTTACTGTTGTAGGCATTTACCACAAATCACCCATCATTTTATTACAAGTATGCCTCAATTAACTACATCAAAATATACATATAAACTAAATTGGAAACGTACATCGACATACTGTATGATAAAGTGTCTCCTTTGTCCATCAGAAAATACAGAAAGGACATATTCACCAGGTTTCCCATGACTCTCTCGCACCAAGAAGTCTCCTTGCTGCTTTAGCAGGTCTTGCGCTTCTATTCTGGGAATCGCACCATGGTACCAGTCCTGTTCTGCCAGAGGTTTCTCAAGTACGGGGATCGTATCACAGAACTTGAGCAAATATTGGGGAAAAAAAAAAAGCACATTAAATTAGAGAAGACAGCAATTTTCTTCTGGTAGAACTAATAGCAATTATAAATACTTCTTACCTATGTTCCTCCCTTTAATTGACCAATTAAAAGTCATCTGAAAAATCTGAAATGTTCATAATTTTTTAATACCCCCTGGAGCACTGATGCTGAAGCTTAATACATATCCTTAAATACTGCAAGATTATTTGTTTTTTCTACCAGACATAGGTACACACAATATTAGCATTTAGAGTTAGCACTTATAGTCTTAGTCACCATTATCATCAAATACATATATTTAAAAATCTTCAATCAGAGAATTATGATGAAATGAGAGTATTATCAGAGAAACTTATCATAGACAGCTTCATTTTTAAAGAATTAAAAGCTGAATTGTATGTTTCTATGGGATTAACTCTTGATCTCACGGGCTGCCCACGTCTGGGTTCCAGGGACACTAAGGCTTCATCTGCAGCTGCCGTGTTGCTGCGCCTGCTCATCCTTGCTCCTCTGACTTCCTTAACCATTACCTCTGCCACATGGCTGGTCCTGATCCTACACAGCAACGGCAGACAACAGGCTCTGCTGAATCAGCAGCCCTGAAACTACCAGAGTGCAACGACAAACAGACGACAGAAACAACGGGGCATATAAGCCATGAGCACAGCGGGAAGGAAGTTATCTGCTGTTTTAGGAGGCAAATGCTAACAACAAATAGAGATAACCCAGAGCTGGCTATGTTTCCTTGAAATGTTTCTAATTAGTAACAGATGAAAACATACATCTTCTGGTTACAAGGAAAAAGTTGTTTGTTCGTTTATATTTAACATCCACAGAAACCAGACTGCCCCAGGTCATGAGAATTCTTTATAGGTAAGGCACGGGTGCCTTTCTGGTAAACGAGACCTAGTCTGAAGAGAGTCCGCACTGCTCTATCACTTGGTGCTTTACTCGCTCAGTCGTGTCCGACTCTTGCGACCCCACGGACTGTGGCCCACCAGGCTCCTCTGTCCATGGGATTTTCCAGGCAAGAATCAGTTCAGTTCAGTCACTCAGTCGTGTCCGACTCTTTGCAACCCCATGGACTGCAGCACACCAGGCCTCCCTGTCCATCACCAACTCCTGGAGCTTGCTCAAACTCATGTCCATTGAGTTGGTGATGCCATCCAACTATCTCATCTTCTGTCGTCCCCTTCTCCTCCTGCCTTCAATCTTTCCCAGCATCAGGGTCTTTTCAAATGAGTCAGTTCTTTGCATCAGATGGCCAAAGTACTGGAGTGGATTGCCATTTCCTTCTCCAGGGGATCTTCGCAACCCAGGAATCGAACCCAGGTCTCCTGCATTGCAGGCAGATTCTTTACTGACTGAGCTATGAGGGAAGCCCTCAAGTTGTATCACTTGAAGAGGCCTAAAACTTACTGGTCAAAGTTCCATTTTATATTAGCCAAAGCCTATCCCACCGACTTTAAAAACTGAGAAATCCAAAACAGAACTCAAAGGAGAGTACACAGTTTGGTTTCTACTTCTACCACTATGTGAGTGTGAATGTCAGTGGCTCAGTAGTGTCCAAGTCTTTGTGACCCCATGGACTGTAGCCCACCAGGCTCCTCTGTCCATGGGATTCTCCAGGCAAGAACACTGGAGTGGGCTGCTATTTCCTTCTGCAGGGGATCTTCCCGACCCAGGGACTGAACCCAGGTCTTACGCATTGCAGTCAGATTCTTTACCATCTGAGCCACCACAGAAGCCCTGCCACTATATTAATTCTTTAAATACATATATGATGCATCTGTATATGGAAACTGTTTATAAGCTGAATAAGCCTTCTTTTCTTAGTACTAATTATGACAAATACTTTACTTTCAAAACAATTTAAATTGTATTCCCAAAATGGGTTTATAATTGAATTATATAAGAAACTAGCCACAACTATGAGATAAAAATAATTATTTTTAAAAATAAATGCATAATCCATATAAAATTAATTTTCATGTATACTAACAGTTTATAATTCTTAAAGTAGGTGGTCAGAATGATTAATTATTTCCTCTCTAAAATTTTGTCACAACGGATTTCAATATAGAAAACACTAAAATTTTTACTATTATAGAAATATTTTCAAGTCTCACTGATGACGAGTGTTTTATTGATTTTTTATAATGAAAGGAATCATTATAGTAAAAAAATCATGTTAAGCCCCATGAAGACAGGATATTTATTTTGCTCATTGCTGTATTCTCAGCACCTGAAATAGTGCTTAGGACACAGGGTTCAATAAATGAATTGAATGAATAAAAAAAAAAAAAAAGAAAGAAAATCAGTGTCACTTCTAGGCAAAAAAAAACCTTGTTTTTATTACTATTTCTATTTACAAAGGTCTACATATTAGAAAAGCATTACAAACAAGGATATCATGTGCTTGATTTCCTCTCCTATCAACCTATCCTCCAAAAGGTTGATTTAGTTAGAGCTTGGACAACAAAGAGCCTGGGGAATTCATTTAAGTCAGAAGGGCATTTGAAATACAAAGCTTAGCTAACACAGAAATTCATTTAAGGATTTGAAGCTGAGGAATACATCTGAGGGGGAAAAAAATCATTCTGAAACATCTAAGTTTGTTTGTTTGTTTTAAGAAGAGAAATAAATGGGAAGGAACTTACAATGCTATTTCATAGGGATTATTCTTCAGTTTTTTTTGTTTCATAAGGTCTTTTGAGAAGGAAGGAAAACTTAGCCATCTGCTGTTCCTGGCCCTAGACAATACCGTCGTGGTATGCAGGCTGAAGTCACTATGGGTACATGTGTGTGTACATGTGAGACAGGCACACACAGGAAGAGGCTGCACATAGCCCCTGACTGCGTCTATCAAGATCTTTCAGGAATTTCCCAGGAAACATTGGAAAAAAGCACTTTTATTAATGTGCTTTCAATTAAATTCTAATACAGCTCTGCCAGCTTGATAGTAACAGAATGAAGGACATGCCAGCAATGGAATCTACCATTCCAAAAGCTTTCCTAATGACATCAAAAGTGAAAGGAAGCTTTTTACTTCAAACATCACAACTTTCTCAGCCTAAGTGGGGAAAGATTTTTCCTTGTTATCTAAAATTTTTGTCAAAGACATGGGGAAAATAAAGTTTCCATTTTCATATGTGCAGTAATATAACATAATTAACGAGTTATGCATAAGACAAGCTTTCCTGATTGACTAGACCAGCTATTTACCTATTTTCCCCCAGACCTTATTCTTAAAAAATATTCCAGCAAAAACATACTGAACTTAGTGTAACAAAAATACTGGTTTAAATGAAGATGCAATGAGGAGTCAGCCCAAGAAAATGAAAATATTTTTTCCAGATTTAAGAATAAGAGGCTATTTTTTTTGTCTTAGTCTAATTAAGACTAATTACCAAGAATTTAATGAATATTTGTATGCTTTTATCTCAAACATTTGAGCACAAGATTAGCTCCTTATGAGAGGCAAAGACAAAATTGTTTTTTTAAAAAAATCAATGTCTGGATTTTACTCAAATTAAGCACCCAAATAAGAAACCATTAAAAAAAAAAAAAACTAAAATATAACAGCATGGAAAATATGCAAGTAAACCTCTCAATGAGTTTAAATAAAATTTCAACACTAACATGTAAGTTTTTATGAATCTTTAATAAACACATAAAAGTGAACATAATTCTCTTCTACATTCTTATATAAATTTAGTTATTAGTTTAACAATTTAAGTAAAGAATTATTTCAAACTGAGCGTAATAATATACTACAGTGTCTACAAGTAACTCATAGGATTTTAAACATTTCTAAAAAATTCCATAATGACTCCTTTAATTTTTTTTTGACTCCTTTAATTTTATCACTGGGAGATTTCAGGGGCGATTAAGAATCAAATGTCATACAAACAGAAGAGAATCACAAATACTTGCAAAAGGTGGGAGATACTGGCCTACTGAATAGGAATCTGGCTGATGGTAATAAAAGCTACTTTCTATGAAAGGGCAATGTACATACTCTGGATATTTCATCTTCACGATCGTTTGTATTCATGCTAGACAAACAGGATGTAAAGCAGTGTTTCCATCTTTAACAGGCACAAAGGCCTATCTGTAAATTGAGAAATCCTACTTTTTTAGCAATAAAGTAGAACTGATCTTTTCTTCATGCATTGATAGCTGTTATTTTTGTTAAAAGCATACTTTATCTAATGTTCAGTTTCCACTATGAAACCAGAAGCAAAACTATTAACAAATTTCTTAATTAACAATTTTTGTACGTTTTGAGACTGAGTTTGTTCAGTCTTTAGGTAATAATACAACTATGATTATCATAATGATTAGGCAGAATGACATGCTGATCAGATTCACATTCTTATACAATTCTTCCCCAAACAATATTAATGTAACTCTTCCCCAAAGATATACAACTTAATCAAACTTGAATATTACCTTACTTCCATGACTTTCCACTTCCTTGACTGCCTATTTGTGCACCTTCCAGGACCTCTAATAAGAGACCCTATCTCTAGCAAAATAGATTTTCTAAAGGGCATTTATTTTTGGTCTCGTACTCCTCCAATACCTTCTGCTTTCTCCTGACTTTGCTCTTTCTCCCCTGCTTCCTTAGCCCCTTTGCGCAGCTTCTCTCGCCAGCAGCCGTCCTTTCTGCTCGTTACCGTTTTGTCCACTTCCTTTCCCAGTCGTGCTTGTGACTCTCCTTCATCCTCTTTCATCTTATCCCACTGCTGCCATGTTTCTACAGCTCTACTTTTTCAAAGTCAAACATCCTGACCTGAAGCTCATACAATATTACAGATAAAATATACCACTGCATCAATAATAACATTTTAGTCCATTTACTGTCTTCAGTGCAAATGCTATACTACACATCTCAACTAAAACTATTACCAGATCATGCTAATGAATCAGTGTGAAATCACAGCTCAATAAATTTAAAAATTAATCACCAAGTTG